AATAATTATTATTTTTTTAATATGTTACTTATTTTGGGAGCATTTAGAAATCGTATAAAGAGAGGTTTTGTTTGTGAATAATAATAATAATAATAATAAATTGATGTAAAATTTAATATTTTATTTCTTAAATTTAAAACAGGGCATTTATCCTAGAAAAATAAAATTTGTTACATTTGAATTCACACTATAACTGTATACAAGTTTGCAACAGAAAAATACATGTAGTTAGTTTGATATATCGCTAATGATTGATATTCTTCAAGCTTGATTCTGACGAGTTCCTTTCACAAATAAGGTCCTATATATGTTGCTCTCTCCCATATTCTAACAAATCAAAATTAGGCATGAAAATTACATACAAAGATAATAATTGTGGAGACAACACTAATAATATTAAAATAAAAAAACAATTAAAAAAAAGGGAAAAAGAAGAAAGAAACTTCTTGGAAAAAGAGTTTCAAATGAAAAGAAGCAAAATAAAAAGAAGAAAAATTGAAAGGATATTATGAATGAAAAAGACAGAATGTTGTGCAGTATATGACATTTGCTTTAGTATTTATAGTTAGCAAATTAGTAACATACGAATATAAAAAGATAGATAACGTCCATTAGAGTAATTATAATTGAATGACTTTAATTGTGACTATCTTCAATATTTAAGTGTTTTTTTTTGTATTTTAAAATTGAAAAATGGTCAAAAAATCCATAAAAAAGATGAATATTTTTCTAGCCCTTACAGAGGCATGCCACATCAGTGATTCTAGATTCAGATTTATATAGATATATAGATTTTCATCTATATCACATAATTTAGATATCACGAATAATATATGTTGGGCCCGTGCACTCCTATATCTAGTATGGTATATATAATTAGGGAAAACAACACAAAATGTATCCAATTAAAGGGAGCATTTTGCAGGAGATATTTTGAGAGTGGAGCTCTACCATTTCACATGAGAGAGTAGAGGAATGACGAGAACTTCCTTTACTTTATCTTCCTCTTCTTCGCTTATCCCCTCTCCAACTTCTATTGGTGGTCGCCGTCGTATCATCACCGGCGCCGGCGCCGGCGTCGGCCTCCTTTGTTGCGCTGTGGCCGCCACAACCTCTTCTTCTAGGATTGCATTTGAGAAGAAGAAACAGTGGAAAGAAAGTGAATACCCAGGTTTCTCTGAAGTTTCCGTTTCCCACCTGAACAACAAGAAGGGGAGGGGGACCCCTATTAACAAAAAAGTCCATAGAAAGAATACCGCCAATCCTTGGGTCAATACTGTTCCTGAAGCTCTTTCTGATTGCATTGATAAAAAGCAATGGCAACAAGCCCTTCAGGTCTTCTTTTTCATTTAATTAGGGGGATCGTTGAATTTATTTATAATATATATAGTGGTGTGGTTAAGGTTTTGCAAAAACTGGTTAAGTTTGTGTGTTCTATACCTGCTTATATATTTTTACTTTATATTTTGACACCTCTCGCTAAAAATTCTAACTCCGCCGCTAGGTAGAGGTGATAAATGTATATCTTGAGTTATTTGGGTTAATGAGTTGGCTAAAATGCTGGTCATAACCCAATTTGTCCGAACCTTATTAAGTTTTAATAATTATTTTTAGTATATTATAAAATTATTATTTTTATTTATTATCAAATAAAATAAATGTGTTTTTGAAAGCATTGTTATAAAATTTCTTATTAATCAATTTGGATACATATACAACTCAATTTTTAATTGTTGGAGTGAAATTGTTTGAGGTAGTAAATGATTGTTTGCCAGCCGTAAGTGACTGCATTCTCTTGATTCTTTGGCTTGGCATAGACTCAATTTTCCAATTTATTGAGTAGTGGGTGGAAACTTTAACTGTCTTTACTTTTTCTACTTGTAAACATATGGATTAAGTCAGACTATACTTTTGTACCTCTAGGTATTTGAGATGTTAAAGAAGCAACCTTTTTATCAACCAAAAGAAGGTACTTACATGAGGCTCCTTGTTCTTCTTGGAAGATGTGGGCAACCAGGACAGGCTCAACAGCTTTTTGATTCAATGATTGAAGAGGGACTCGAACCTACTTCTGAACTTTATACGGCCTTGATTGGTGCTTATTGTAGAAGCAACATACTTGACAAGGCATTTGCTCTTCTTCATGCCATGATTGACCTACCTCATTGTCAACCAGATGTTTACACCTATAGTATATTAATCAAGGCATGTGTAGATGCTGGCCGATTTGATTTGGTTGAGTTACTTTATGAACAAATGGTTGATCGTTCCATAGTTCCTAATACCGTCACTCAGAATATAGTCTTGAGTGGTTATGGTAGAGCAGGCAAGTATGCAGAAATGGAGAAAGTGCTCTTAGGGATGCTAGAGAGTGCTGACAGTAAACCTGATGTATGGACTATGAACACTATCCTGAGCATATTTGGCAACAAGGGGCTGATTGAAATGATGGAGAGATGGTATGAAAAAATCCGTAATTTTGGGATTGAGCCTGAAACGAGAACATTTAATATCCTCATTGGTGCTTATGGGAAGAAAAAGATGTATGATAAAATGTCATCTGTAATGGAGTACATGCGTAAACTCTCATTTCTATGGACAACATCAACATACAATAATGTCATTGAGGCGTTCTCAGATGCAGGTGAGGCAAAGCATATGGAATACACCTTTGATCAAATGCGTGCCGAAGGGATGAAAGCTGACACCAAGACCTTTTGCTGTCTCATCAGGGGATATGCAAATGCAGGCCTTTTTCATAAGGTGATCAACACTGTCCAGTTAGCTGGGAAATTGGAGATCCCTGAAAACACTTCCTTATTCAATTCTGTTATTTATGCGTGTGCAAAGGCCGAGGACGTAATGGAGATGGAGAGGGTTTTCAAGCGAATGAAAGATAAGCAATGTCGACCTGATTTCATGACTTACTCTACTATGATTAATGCATACCAGAAAGAAGGCATGACAGACAAAGTTTATGATTTGGAACAAGAAAAGCTCATGATGGTTGCCATTCACTCCAATGACAGCCACAATGATGAAGAAAAGCTAGAGCTGCTGCCTACTTGAAAGCTAAGTATGCAATATCTGTGAACAAGCATCCAAGCTACATCTTTTGTTTGTTTTATATAGAACTTAGATTGCCTAGATCATCTAGCTGTTTTTCTGAAACTAATAATTGTCCACTGTCATTGAGTTTATGAAGTTAAGAGGTGACCTATGTATTACTAAACACTTATTACTGATGATTATTTCTGGTGTACATCAAATTGAAATGGATATTTTGTTTTCTGTTTATATTATTGGTTTCTAACTTTTGGCATCAGGACCATCCTTTTCTCCCAATTCTGAACTGGTATGTGAATAAAATTTGTTATTTGAAGTTCAAGCAGGTTGTGCCCTGCTCTCCCTGTACTTCAAGTTTCTGGGGCTTTTTCCAATGTTTAATATAATGGATTTCTTGGTAAGTAGTTCCTCTCTTTGTTATCATTTATTAGTTTATGTTTTTTTGGGGGGTGAGAGTATTGTTTGTGTTGCCAAAAGCAACTGAAATTCATTAGCTACAAGAAACCCGTCCACGGGAACATGGAGGATTCACCTTCTCCCCGCAAAGGGAAACTAACATGAAGCATACATCTTCTCAAAAATAACATGGAAGATGCACCTTCTCCCATAGAGAAAAAACTCCCTCTCAGTAGTGTAACAGCTGCGAGAGGCATTATAAAGTTCTCCTTTGTGGCTAAACAACTATTGTTTGAAGTTAATAGAAGTTTGAGGGAAGTACATTTACCTTCTTTGAAATTGGATCCTAACACGTTCTTACTTTGTTATATTAATTGTTAAGAAATGGACCTTTGATTTGACTCAATCCAAAAATTGGCTCATGAAGTGGAAAATTCGAAGGACCAACTACCCATCACACAACTGATGTGGATCTTCTAGTCCCCCCTGCACTTCCAAGTCTGGATATCTAGAGCATTTACAATATAATTTGAGACCCTAAAATAGGGTAAACCAAAAATTGGGATGGGTAGACTTTGATACCATGTTAAGAAAGAGATTTTGGGTCTAACTCAATTGCATAAACTAGCTATGATACCGTATTGAAATGTGTGACCATCTCATTATATCATAACATGTTAGAGAGCACACTTTTATTTACTTAATTAATATCTACAATTGAGGTTTTATAAGATGGATTCTATGGAACAAGAGTAGGGAGGGGGATTTTAGGAAGAACACATGGGAGAGAGGAGGGGATGAAGTATGAAAAATACTAATAAATTTAGCTGAGAAAGAGGTTTTATGCCTTCAAAATTGACGTGAAATGGTTTGCCACATCAGCATCTTGTATACACAAGCCACACTTTTGTCAATCAAAGGTGTTCCAACTTTAATGGACTATCTAGATAATTAGCCCAGAATTTATGTAATGGACTCTCTATGTATCGTGTTCATTTATGGTTTTTTTTGGTGTCTCTGGAAGGAGAGAAATAACATATGCTTTGATGGAATCTCGACTCCTATGTTTGGAATGTTTATTCAGTTGGCACTTTCTCTTCCCTGTAAACAGTGTGGATAACTTTTTGAATTTTGTTAGCTCCCTCCCTGTCTTTACCTTAGTAGAATATTCAGGGAATTTTTTTGGCTGTTTTACAGGTAAGTTTGCTTCATGTTTTGTTTGAAGCAGCTTCTTTTGCTCTCTTGTAACCTTTGCATCTTCTTGATGCTTTTCTAATATGATTTGATTACTTTACCAATTTTTTTTTTTAATGTAAAACTTAATATTTATTTTAGTATTTGAGAGAACATTTAAAGTATGTTGTAAAGTAAATTCTACTTTTAGTTCTGAGGGTCTTCCTTTTCACTTCCATACTAGAAATTGCTCGAAAGAAATAAAGTGATAGCTAGGAAATGCACTATCCTAAGTCAAGAGAAATGGAGAGGGCATTCTTGCATCATTTTCCTCACTTTAAACAAATACTAATTGATACAACAAGAACGGAGAAATAATGGGCTTAAATTCCAAATAGTAGTAGTTCATTTGCATTACTTGTATGAGAAAGAACACCAGGACTAGCATGGCATGCCAAATTGGCATGATTGATACAGGCAGATCAATTTGTCAGAATGAGACTTATGACTTCAATGTTCTTCTATCTGGACTGTCCAAACAGTAGAGAAAATATTCTCTCAACAATAATTGCTGTCATGATCAAATTCTTTGTACTAATTAGAGCATAATTTTATTAGTAGTAGCCCCATGCACAGTGACTTCAGCCTCTATAACACAAGTGTCCCTGACCAGAAAGCCGGCTCCTGGCAAACTGAAATACCCAATTGATATAAATCTTGGCCATCCGCAAACCGTCTGTGATCCACTGAACCAATAGTTGGCTGCAACCAAAAGTAGTATACATCATGATTACATAGTAATGATCCATTAATCTTTTCAACATTTTTACATCATTAACTTTTAAAGTTCTCGACTGCTGTTAAGTACCTTTGCCTAAGTCATGTTGGGCATTAACTTGATCAAGGATACGCATTGTAAAATCTGCATATATTTGACTACCCTGAGAAAGGCTGGTTGGTTCTGCCAATGCCAAGTATAGTGATAGATGGTTGCCTGTACCACTCCCTTTGCCCTTGGGGTATACCTGTATCTTCCTGTTCAAGTTTATACATAGATACAGATATCCATTATGTATACAACAGATATTTAGTTACCCTGTTTGAATAAAGGAAACGAGTGATTGTACCATTTTTGTTCTGCTACCATGAAGGTCTTAGAGTCTACACAATCTGCAGTAAGAGCAGAGAACTTGTCGATCTTCCAGGTGTGCTTATAGCTAATGGGGTCTTTCACCATGGAGAGACAGTCTTGTCTACCTCGGAACTTTTCTTGACGGACATATACCTCTGCTCCTAAGACACACGTGTCATCTACAACATACCCATTTTCTGGATTGTTGAAAGCTTCTTGACTCATGAATCGATCAAATCCCCATTCCACCTTCATAGCATGGAATCTTCTTCCCTTTCCAGTAAATGTATCTGTTGTTGTAATTAAGAAGACTTGATTCTTTTTCCTTTGTTATGTGTAAAAAAAGAAATTGAAGTATTTCTAAGAACTGAGACCTTGGAGGACCAAGTAGTTGTCATTGTTGTGATCAAGCAAAAACAGCCGAAAACCAACATGGACCTCCCAACCTGCAGGTGCTAGTGAGGTTGCATCCGCCATCATCAGATACACAGAAACATGCTTCCCTGCTTTATTCTTGCTTTTGTTTCCATTTTGATGAAACACCAATTTCCTGCATAACTTACAAAATTTAAAACTGAAGAGAGTGGTTACATTAATTAGATTACAGTAGCTAGGATAAATTTGCTGCACCATTTATATCCGCCGGCTTCAAAATAAGGAGAGGTGTATTTCTCAATATTGTTCTTCTTTAGAAGAGAAAGTGACTGAATTTTGATTGTGTAATGAGTAGGGGGCGTTTCTGAAATGGATGTTGAAACTCCTGCAACAAAATATTAGTAGGAGGCAGCATTAGAACATATATATATATAAACTGAATGAATTGAATTATTTTGTACAGTAGCTTTAAATCCATAAAAGCCCACCATCTTCTTTGTAGAAATTTGCCATGACCAAGTATTTGTCAAGTCTGAAGTGTACAATCATTAGCCTATTATTTATATGTATGTATCACAATTAAAAAATTGAATTGCCTCTCCCAAAACGTTATCCTTAACTTAAGCCGGGTTACATATGTATCTTCTGTTAGCATAACATTCCAAAGTTCCAAATGGAGGTTTCGAATACATATTCAGACTCTACGATGTTCCCATTTTTTGTTGCTTATTACCAGATTCTACATGTCTTCTTGTTACACCACACTCTTCCTTTCTTAACATATTTTAATAAATTTATGTTTAGAAATTCTTTTTAAGTTCAAAAGATGCTTTTTGGTGAAGGAGCATAAAATTTCCTTATTTCTTAAATATGTATCCGATATTTTAAATTTATTTATTTTATATCCAATATTGATAGAATTAATATCTCAAAAAGGTTACTCAATATGATTCTTTATGTAACAAAATCATTGAACTTTATTGGCAAAAGGGTCTGGTGAACCCTTGTACTTGTATGAGTTTGTATTATGAATCCTTCTACTTACCCCTTTGTCAATTGAACCCTTGAACTCATCGAAACATAACATTTTAAACACGTTTTTTATCACTCAACTGTGTGTGTATTACAAACGCCTGACACGTAATTTTAAAAATAATTATAAAATGACACGTATAATTATAAAAATGACACGTGTATATATAGTCACTCCATATTATTTTTCCTTTTATTATATTTAATTATTGTAGCTATGAGTCTCTTTCCAATTTTATTTCTCTTTGCCATAGCAGTTTTCGTCCCTTTTTATCATCTTCCTTACCCTTTTCCTTTTTCCAACTTCTTTTACTCTTTCCATTGAGGTAAAAAAATTGGCATGATTTTTGATTGTTCACAATATCATCGGAGTTCGGAGTTGATTTTGGGTTTTGTTGGATCTGGGTTTTGGTGGTGACCGGTGGTGCTAAGGAAGAGTGGGGTCTGTTGGGTGGTCTGATTGTTTCTAGTTGTTCACAATCTCGCAGGAGCTCAGGGTTGGCGGCGTTGTGAAGGTCGAGGCTTATTGGTGGAGTTGATTTGGGGATTTTTGTTATTGTTGGTTGTTCACGCTTATAGCTACCGGTTGAAGCTTGGTGAGAACGAAGGCGGTTTGGTCGGAGAAGGTGAGGAGGACGAGAAGAAGGAAGTAAGTTTGGGTTTGGTTTGAAATTGAAACAGGGGGTCATTTGGGTGGTGGATGATTGAGGGGTCAATGTTGAAAATTATTTGAGTTTTTGTTTGATTTTCAAGTTATTTGGGTAGGTTTTTCAATTATTTTCAAATTCATTTGTTGTTTAATTTGTAATTGATCGAAAAAAAGGCCAAGAAAATCTCAAACTTTGTTCAACAATGGTATTGGATGCAAATAGGAAGATGATAAAGCTCTAATGTTACTGTTAGACCCTTTTTCAAGTGTCTCACGCTCCTAATAGGTGTGTGTTACACGCTTTTTGGTATTACCTGCCACATAGGATGCCAAGTCAAAAATAGTGTTTAAAATATTATGTTTTGATGAGTTTGGGGGGTCAGATGACAAACGAGCAAGTAGAAAGGTTCACAATACAAACACAAACAAGTATAAGGGTTCATCAGACCCTTTTGCCAACTTTATTTTGTATCAACAAAATCACTAACTCGGAAATTTTATTTTTCAAAATCACTCAATCAAATTTATAATTTTTTTAAAAAAAAAATCCAATATGAAAAGATAAATTATTTTGATACTATGTGAAACTTGGACTCCACAAATAATTAAATTAAATAAAACCCATAAATAACCTTAAAGAATGAGGAAATAATTTTTTTTTAAGTTGGGATAATTTTTTAATGAATAGGTTCGTTTTAAAATTTATAAGCCTTTTTAGACCTTAATTTAGATTAATCTAATGTTTGTCTATTGGATAGAAATATATAAATAATATTAGATCTGATTGTTTATCTAAAAGAATATCTTTTAAGTGTATCGTAGACAATGACATTTGAATCGGGAAAATAATAATTAGGATAAAAAAATACTGCAAACAATTGTATTTATTGATTTCAAAATATGAGTGTTACAACTTTCTGATTCATCTTTTCGAATTTAATTATTGAAGGGCTCTTGAGTTTGATCTTGTATCCTGAACTTGTTCTTGACTGTACTTGGATTCAAGGGCTTTTGAGCTTGTTCTTGAATCTGGTGGTCTTGATCTTGAGTTGTTCTTGAACTTGATCTTGACTTGTACTTGAATTTATTCTTGAATCTGGTGGTCTTGATCTTGAGTTGTTTAGAACTTGATCTTGACTTGTACTTGAATTCAAGGCCTTTTGAGTTTGTTCTTGAATCTAGTGGTCTTGATCTTGAGTTGTTTTTGAATTTGAATGCTTGAGTACTTGAATTTTTGAAGTTATGGCTTTTAGAGAAATCTGCGGTGTTTGATCCACGAGCTTTCTCTAGCTTCTTGTTAGAATTTTGGAGTCTTTTTAGAATTATGAGGACCACTATTTATAGTTGTAGAATGGAAGAGTTATGATGAGAACAAATTTTCCTACGGTCAATCAAATTTAAGTAAAATGGCGAAGGAGTAGTGATAGAAACAGGTTTCCTTCGATCAATCAAATTTAAGTGATATGATGATATTTGATTGGTCGGAACACATCACTTGTACATGTAACACATTTTTATTGGTCTTTTATTGGAATAGGAATGTCATATCATTTTGACACATGACATGATCCTATTGACTTCTTTGTTTGATGTGGCATGCCACGCCATTTGACACATAATACCAAACAAGGCCTTTAGGATAAGATGACATTGAACTTAGCAAAGTAGGCTCATCATTTGTAACTCAAATTAATGGATTAGTCCAATGAAATTGAACTTTAATTAAATCCATATTTATTAGACTTAAATAATTAATTTAAAATATTTATTTGGATTAATATATCTTGAATTTAATATGATCCGAATCATTTAATGAATTTATATCCAATAAATTTTAAATAATTAATGTACATTTGCATAATTATTTTTTTTAAAAAAAAAAATTGGGGCAAGGGACATTTGTATAAATTAGCTGAAATTTGAAGTATGGTAGAAGAAAAATAAAATGAAGCTTTCAAAATAAAAATAGCAAATAACAAACTTTGCTAAATTTAACATTCAACTTTAATCTTCATCCATGGATGAAGACAACACAACTCCCACACCTTCTACCCCTCCAAAACCCCCAGATATAGGTTTGTAACTTTGTACCCTCAGATAAGTACCATTCTACAAATCTTATTCCGATCTTAAATTGCTTCAAAGATAAGCTATTGAGGAATTAACTTATTTCTGATGTAATTTTCGGTGACGAAAGTCCTATTAGTAGTGGATGTTGTAATGATCTTCTAAGTCATTTTTTCCATTTTCCTGTATTTTTTATATTTAGAGTTTTTCTATAACCGCCCCGAGTCAATTATGACTTAGTAGGACTGACATGACAATCACCAAACATGTTGTTTGTTGTTTATGCTAGTTTCCATGATTTGGAGCTTCTGATGTTTAGATATTTAACTTCGACAAAATTTTTAGGTAAATAACTTCTGAATGTAATTCTAATTGTTTTGTTAGCTTCAAAATGCCAATTTTAGTCTAGATAGGCCTTTGGTTAGGGTCTGAGGATTTCGGGCTCATTTCAAGCTACCTTATGATTTTTAGCTATAATAGAGCTTGGGTATAATTTTCATCAAAATGACCTCCATTGGAAGTTTTGATAGTCTCATTGAGTCTGGAATATTGTTTTAGGTTGGGGCATATTCAATTTGCATTCGTGGGACTCTAAATAAATCTTGAGGGTCCATTTGAAACATAAGATTTAATCCCTAGTTTGCTGGTACATTATTAGTTGTTAATGATACTGCTCTCGTGGAGCTTGGCTCACTTTGGCAGAACCGCTCCAATGGTGAGCCCATACCAGCTATGGCTTCTGACATCACCCATACCACCCATACCAGTTATGGCTCCAACGGTGCCCCGCTCCTGCAGAGCTTGATCACTTCAACAATCTTGCTCTAGTATGATAGGGTCCTCTTCTATGGAGTAGGGGTACTCCCATGACCTCCACCACTACGTGGCCCTTTCCACAGAGACAACACTGCTCTCAGGACCTCGAGTCTACTAGGCGGTCGTTGGGTTTTAATATCTATCTTCTCTCTCATTTTCTTCACATAGAAGAAGTCCCTTTTGAGCTCGATTAAAAGGGACATATTTGGGGAATTGTCGTGGTTGAGCTGGGAAGCGTGAGAGCATTATCTCACTTCGAAACTTGTATGTAATGACCTTCTAGGTCATTATTATTTATTCCATTATTTTTGGCATTTAGAGCGTTCCTATAGTGACCCTAAGTCATTTATAACTTGCTAGGATTGACAATTCGGTCACTTGGTCGTTCGATTGCTTTTTGTGCAAGTTTTCATGTTTTGGAGCTTTTGAAATTTGAATGGTTGACTTTGGTCAAAACTTCAGGTGGATGACCTCTACATACACTTTTGACGGTTTCATTAGCTCTGAAACATTGAGTTTGGTCCAAAAGGACCTTTAGTATGGATTCTGAGGCTTCTCAACTCATTTTGAGTCACCTTGTGGGTATTTACTTTAAATGGAGTTTGGGTGTGGGCCACTTTTCGTCGAGATAACCTCAGTTGGAAGTTTCGACATCTCTTTTGAGTCTGGAATGCCAAATTTAGTGAGATAACATATTTTATTTGCGTGCATGGGCATCCAAACCAATCTTGAGCACCTACGCATAGTTTGTTAGGACTTCGTTAAATTTTTTGGTGTATTGTGTTAGTGCAGATGCTCAAGCAGCCCTAAGCGAAAGTCGCTTTAACGGCTAGGGTGTCGCTTAAGCAAGACCTACCATCTCAGGCCTAGCCGTTTTAGCGACCCTAACTTTGCTTAAGTGGCCAGGGGACCGGTTTAGCTGTAGGCTGTCTGCATGGCCAGACCGCTTTAGTGGT